CACTCCAAATGGGGAGAAGAACTCCCACTAGAATTAAATTGGCTGTCTCTGGCTCAAGTGGTATAAAAAGTCCTGTAAACTCTATTCACTTTTAGCACTTCCCCAATTCTGCCACTTCTATCGAGTTGCCATACTGTGTGTATTAATTAAATGCAATTTTCTCACTTAATGATGTATTATCCAGGTATGTAACTTTGTTTAACATAAGCATTTTGTATATTGTTTACATTTTGAGAGGTAGCATTATGTTAAAAATGCTAATTTTTGTTTCTAGACAGTATTTTTATTACCAGAATAAGAGGTGAAGCTGCAAATATTTGATTTGTTTTTAAAAGGGACTTTTTGCTTTTGTTTTTGTTTTGTTTTTTTAAATCTTGTTTTAGGTCACTTTTTTAACTCAAGTATTTAAAAAGAAAGCCTAGCCCTTTCAAACCTGGTTTTACAACTGCTTGTGCTAGTTTATTGTCTGTTTCTGGTGTGAATTTAGTTCTAGTTTGCTGAATGTAGATAATCTGTCTGTAGCATGTGCCCTGCAGAACACTTTACACTGAAGCGCATTTGACTGAAGAACACTGCTCAGCTGAAAAAGTTGCAGCAGGTAAACAGATCACTCAGATCCCCATCAGAGTGCAGGAGAGTCTCTAACACAAAAAGTTACTGCTTTATTTTTTCAAGAAATTGCAGTGCAATTCTTGGTCAACTGAAGGTTGTTTTTTTTTTTTTAACCAAAAAAAAAAAAAACCTTAAGTGTGCCGTGTCTCTCTCCTGTGCCTGAAGAGGCACTGTGGGAAAGGCACTTGTGTGGGAAAGGAGCTGTGGGATTCATAGTCCTGTCTCTACTGAAGGTCTCTTTCTTTCTGAACATGGGCCTAATCTGTCAAAAATCAAGAACTGAAAACTGCTTTGAACCTAAAACATGTCTCTTCCCCACCGAGTTAGCTCCGAGGGCATAAAGAAGAGTGGGAGAGGAAACGCAGAGTGACGAGTCCCAGTTTGGGTGCTGTTCTGCCCCAATAGTGCAATAAAAAAAAAACACTCGAGAACATGATGGGTCACCCTTTATATAGGAACCACTTGTTCTGGAGGTAGCAGACAGCACCCGTCCTCTGTGTCAGCTTTGTGTCGTTGCTAGGAAGAGGGCCTGGTGTCGCAGGAGTTCATGTCTCACAGCAAGGAGCAGTAGAATCCTTCCCCCTTGTCTCATACGCTGCCTCTGATTGATTCTCCTCCAGAGCATGACCACAGCTACCTTCAGCTGGGGACCAGCCTCTTAGTCCAATAAAGGCACAAAGCAAGGTTGTATTGTAGTTACGGACCGTGTTTGGTAGGGGTTGTGGCTTAGCCTCAACAGACGGATACCTCCCAGTCCTATGACTACTATGCAGTCTTTACAGCTGCCTCCTTTCAAGCTGCACAAAGGTCAAGTGTTTAATCTTGAGCTGGTACAGACCTTTTAGAAGTCAGTGCACGTACTGAAACTTGGTTTGCAGCACTGCACAACTGATCTGAGGCAGAATGTCATTGCAACAATAGCGCCAAAAACAAAATAGCTGTCTTCTCATCTGTGTTTCTAATGCCCCATTTCAAATTTGCCTGTCAACTTCCCATACTTCTGCAGAGCCATTCTCCAGTATCCATATTAGCCACTTTTTCCTTGCTCTTCAAAATGAATTATTGTGTAATAGCAATGGCAAAGCTTGGGGAACCAACTTCTGGTCATCCGTCGTTTTTAGTGGTTTCAGTTTTCGCCACTCGGAACTTGTGCTGTTCTTTGCTTAGCTGCTAAGTGCGGCTAGCTTGAGTGGTGTCAAGTGAGCCTATTACACACAGGTCACAAGGGTGGGCAGGGCTAATCAGTGCAACTGAAAAAATGTGAATAAATTAAGTTTAATCTAAAACTAAAAAAAAAAGCATTCTAGGTTTTTTTCACTGCTGTTTTTTTAAATAGGAATTTTAAGTCCTCTGTGCTTGTCTGTTTGCTAGGAGCAGTTTGAGACACTGTTACTGTTTTGAAATGCATGCATGTTACAAGATGAGTCTCCAACCAGAGAAAAATAAAATTAAAACTTTGTGTACATCTGTTCTTTATTGTTGTCCTCTTTAAAGTGTTCTTAATCAGCTGTTACTCTGTGAGATATGTGGTCATTTTAAGGAAGTCTTAGATTAACTACAGCTGGAGAAGTCTGTTTATACCTGCCTATAATTTGGAGCTCTTAAATACCCTGTACCGAGTACTGGATATGAGAACAATTTAGAGCTGACAGGAAGAGCTGGTATCTCCACACTGCCTGAGGAGATGGTGCTGACTCCTTGGGTGTACCTGAAGGCCTGTCACTTTCTCAATACCTCTATATCTGTAAGATTAGTTGGAGGTAGCTCAGAGAGAAAGGTAAGCTCCTTTTGAGAGCTTTAGAGTGAGCGAGATGAGAACTTAATCCTAATGTTCAGACTTAAGAAAAGGAAAGTTCATACAATAGAAGAGAAGAGTTTTATTTAAAAAAGTTCCAAGCAGACTGGGATGTGAAACACATGAACAGGTGCGTTAGGCTAGTCCATGCGAGCTTTCAGGGTCCTCGTGGTGATCTTGTCTTTTTCACTAGAGGAGAGAGAGCAAGGAGACTGTTAATAAATCAGTGTTAAGTATCTCCATACAGATTGTCATTTTATTGGGAAAGGGGACTGCGCGCATGTAGTTTGTTTGCAAGTGCAGGCAGACGCCCATTACAACTGAATAATCCCCATCGTCCCACCTCTGCACCCCAAGGCAGTTCCCCAGGTTCAGCAAGGAGTGATGCCTGGGATGCTGTTCACAGATCACAGGGAAACAGCACCAAGAGCAAAATAAGTTGCTTCAGAAGCAAGCCTGGGCAAAGTCAGGAAGTTAGCCTTGCATCCTGCTATGGCAAACAGCACCCACTTGGCCAGTGTCACCTGCGTGCGAGGAGTCACACCCCTAGGTACTGACGGGAACGCAGCTAGGGAATCCCTATTCACCAAGAGTCTGACCCTAGACTTACTCTTCCACGGCTACTGCAGTTCTGGCAACAGCCATGAACAGAGAGCAACTATGAGTGATAAAACAATGCTTAACATGGGCAAAACACTGCTGAAGAGGAGCAGGATTAAGAACACCCTGGAAACCAGTGCCTCAACTGACCTTAAACACATAACTTGTTAAATTCTACCTCCTCTCGGCAGGGGAAGAGAACAGCACTTACATTATGTGTACTATTACACCCATTCCGGATATGGCATCTCTGTCCACTGCATTCAACATGGCCTGTGAGATTGTTTCAAAGAGGTGATCTGGTTCCTGAAGAACAGAAGCTATTTTAGCAGGTGTAAAAATTGAACATTGAGTCATCAGATTTTTGTTCAAACCCCAAATGCCATCCAAAGAGGCTGCAAGATTTTTCCTGCAAGCTGCTATAAGCTACAGCCTCTCTCTTCTCCTGACCTCCTTCTGGAAGTATCAAAGGACAAAGGTTCATCCAACACACGTATCTCAAGTTCTCCAGTTAACAGTGGGAAGCTGAATCCAAGAATCAGAGCTGAACCTTGCCACCTCACTCACCATGTTGGGCTCCCAGAGGGACTCGCACATGCCGTACATCTGCTCCGAGCAGGTGCCGCTGACCACAAAGTCATCAGTTATCATCGGGCAGCCGATCAGGTCTAGAGAGCAGACGAAAGGTTCGTGCGTTATGGGGTCCAGCCCGGCAATGACTGGTTCTGTGTAATAAGGTCCAAACCTGTGAAGAACAACATGAGAGAGCAATCCAACCACCCTGAAGCAATTCCACGTCCCACCTAAATAACCTTATAAGGTTATTTTAAACAGTAAGCTCTAAAGGGACTCCAGAATTTGGGTAGAATTTAAATTCCAAGTTTGAGTATTTATCAACTTATTTAGATTTGATGGAATATAATTGTTTCAGATGGACTGAACCTGAACTCTCCTGCACATCAAAAGTTTTCTTTCCCAGTATTTCCCTCTTAGCTGCTAATTTCTGTACAGGGGCAGGCTATTGCTTCCTTTCAGCTAAACATCAGATGTGCATCTGCACTTCAGTCCTAGGCAATCTTTGGTACGGAGACTTTCATTCATTACTGGTAAAAAGCTATGCGAGTTACATATGAACAGAAATGCTAAACTGTGGTTAGCTGGTGCACAGATCCATCTACTAATCAAGCACTAGTTAAGCTAACATTGCCACTAAATTAAAGTTTCTTTTTTTCCCGTACTACAAGTCTCTACAGGAGCACTCTTCAGCCTCCCACCTCTCTAGATTCAGGTCAATTCCAATAACCACAGGCTGCCTTCACTAACGTGGTAAAAGTGACTCCGTTGTTTGACAGTTACCGTCTCTCATAGAGGAGATTAGAAACCATGCTCATAAAAGTTTGAGGTTTGATCTGCCTTCCTTCCTTCAGTTCATAGAGGTTCAGCCTGAACTTCAGTCTCTGGGCACTGCAAGAAGAGATGAGAATCAGCGTTAAAGCAGAAGCAA